ATACTGTCCAGCAGAAGTAACGAAGCAATTGCAACTGCTACATGAAGCCGCTACGTAGCGCTACGTAGCGCTAGCTTCGGCTAAACACACCCTATGTTAATATAAAAATACTTCAATTTGCTGAAATTTATGAATCTTTTATACTTTAGAAGGTTATATCTTTATACTTTAGTTTTTATAATTCTTGGCCTTTCATACAAAGTTTCGTTAAAGAAATGTATTTATAAACTGATTAACTTGACTAAAAAATAATGCACTTGAACTTTGAAATACAATTGAAATTAATTTCCATGAAAATTGAATATAATTTATCTGGAAGAAGAAATGTTGAAGAAACGTTTTATAACTCATTAAAAAATTTTGATTTATTTCATTGTTACGCTAGAGAAAAAAGAAATATTTTTGAAGTGAAATCTTTGCAGTTAACAAATATAATATATCTGAAATAGTTTTATATAATTATTATAACAAGTTTTAATAAAATAAGTACATTCTTATTACAAGGCAACTTGAAAGCACCAATAGAGTGTCCACTTTTACCAACAATCAAAGCGTGCCCTCTAATGACTTCGGCTAAAGCCACTGTTGCATTTGCGAAGTCTGCAAGAAATGTCACAAACAAGCGAATGCACTAAAGAATTTGAAGGGGAAATTATTGTTAACAACAATGGTAGATATGACGAATATGACTTTCCATATCCTTCAAGAGATAATTATTATCATGAAACAACACACTATGAGTATGCAACACAACATAAGCATGTAACACAACAAGAGCATGCCACACAGCATGAGCGTGCAACACAACATGGGCGTGCAACACAATATGAGCATGCAACACAACATGATCATTTGCGTAGTGGAAACGTTATAATAGGGCATGTGATAATTTTTTTATTTATTTATAAAACATTGAATTCTTCCTGAATTCTTCCTGAAATGAAAAAAACAAATTTAAATACATAAACGCAGTTTAATAATTATATACTTTAATACATTAGTTACGACTTCCATTCTTTGTATACATTTTTTGACGTAATTAAAATTGAATACTTATATACAATGCTTTTTGACTTACAAGGGGTGGGCACGAATTGCAAAATACGAAATTGAATAAACTATAGTTCATTTGAAAGAGGAGATCGAAGGTATAAAAAGTGTAAGAAGGTTTAAATGCATGGGCATTAGTTTACGAGAATTTTGCATGCAAAGATAAGCGTGCGGCCAGCTGTATTAAGTTAAGTACCATAAATAAGTTAGACTCAGCGTGAAGTGTTGTGGCTGCGGCCTAAGGCGCGCGCTCTGTAATTTTTGGCATTCGTTGCGAGTTCGAAATCTTGCAGTGCCAACTTTTTTTTGCACTCAAACCCTCTTACACTTTTTATACTTTCGACCTCCTCTTTCGAATGAACTATGGCTCATTCAATTTTGTATTTCGCAATTCGTGCCCACTCCTTGTTAGCTGAAATCAAATTAACTAAAATTAACTAATTCGATAAACAAAATAAACACTTACAATGTTATTGGTGTTTATAAAA